AGACATTGCAAGTTGCAACAGGCATATATTTTTTAAAAATTTTGAGAAAGAAATTAGATTTGACCAAATTTCTTGAATAAGAAATTAATACATACACCTCATGTTAAACCAAATGCTCCGATGCTGTAATACATTAGGTTTGGTTTTCTCCATATGAAGTTGTCTTAAACTAAAGTATATTCATTAAGATTTTTTTAATCATTTCATGCTTGGTTATCGGGTTTTAAACCTTTATATGTGACTAAAAAAGAAACAAGTAGTGTGGCAACAATAGAGAAAAAAGGAGTTTTGTGCAATTTCGGTCAAGTAATTTGATCGAAGTCAATTTGTTATCCGATTAAGATGTAATTTTATCAGTGTATTCATGATTCATTTTTTTTCAATCTGAACGATAGAGATCAGGTTTCGAGTTACTTACTAATTTTATGGATATTTGTTAATCCCTAAATTTATTTAGATTTATCCAATTTTCTCTTACAAGTTGTTTTTTTACCAAAATTGTTTAATCTTGAAATGTTGTGGTTGAATACCTTTAGTTCTATCTAAAGAGAACTTTGTATTCTCATTATTTTGATAGTGAAAATTTTTGTGGTTGCTCGTGGTTTTTACTCCTCATTTTGGGAGATTTTTCATGTAAATTGTTTGTATTTTTATACTTGTGATTTGAAGATTTATTTGTTAGTATTATTTATTTAATTCCTGCTTAAATTCACACAAAAGAGGAATAATTTGATTTTTTCATTGTATAACATATTTGATTTGAATATTGTTTGATAATAGACAAAAATTAATCTAGGAAATTGCTACCTTGTTAAGAAGAACTTACGTAGATTCGATTTTTCCAAAGAATGGAGCTTGTCGATTATGTAACTTCTCAATCTTAAACCAAATAAAATGTGTTATTGAAAGGCTTAAGTTGAGGGCGAATTGTATATATATTTATGGAATCTCGAGGGTGGAGGGCGTGCAACAAAAAAAAAGGCATTGGCATCACAGTCTTCTAAGATATGGTCAAAATAATATGCGAAATTAATCACCTTCCTCGGCCTGCGTTCTTCATTAATTCTTACTAATTTTTTCACATGGATTCTCTTCAATTCCTCACTTTCTACCGTATCTTGCAGACTCAGCACTAAATCACATACAAACTTACATTTCATATTAATTTTATGGTCTCAAAATTAAAATGAATTTATATTTGATATGTTGTTAGTATATAATTTTTATATACTGTCAATAATTTATTAATAAAATAAATCAAATGATAATATTTTATTAATAAATAAATTTTTTTATTTGTATAAATTTATTTTAAACGTTTAATTGGGGCAAAAACAACAATCGGCACTGGGGCCTTAATGCAAAAAATTTTACAATCTTGAACCGGAACACACGAGAGTAAAAAGAATAGTTTTTAGCCCGTGCATGTAAATCGACCCTTTTCACCATGAAATTTGAAATGTCATGTTAAACTAGATAGAGAATCATTGAATTGCCATTGAACATGAAGCTGTTGCACTAATAGATAGTAGCAAATTGTTTTGCCTATAGCAGATTAGGGAAGTTGATGTGACACATGAGACCCTAAATCTGTTGAAATAAGGAACCATGTTTGGACAAGAAATCACTGAAATACTAGGAGACATCCACTACTTGAAATAAATCATTAGAGGATATGCTAATCATGCAGCTATACTGCTGCTGGCTGCTGGCGTGATCAAAGCTTCAATGCAGTTCTCCTTTGATGCCGGAAAATGACTTTGGTAATAAGACTTCATAACCAAATAAGAAAATCAATATGTTGGAGATAGCTAGGGATACAATGTTTTGAGATTTGAATTCCATCCGTACAAAAGATTTCTCAAAAATAAGATTGTCTTCCCCCCCCCCCCCCCCCCCTTGTGCATGTGAGTCCAAATTGGAGCTGTCCTGGTATTTTAGAGATCAGGCCCATTTGAGTGAAGAAAAGAAACAAAACCCTGCAAAGATTCTTACAGACAAAATAATGATTAATTTTTTGAAAAATCTTGGTGCTTGGTATTGGTGGTCCACCTGCAGTTTTCAAGGTAAAAATGGTGACAGCCCATTTCTTTTCTTTTTTCTTTTGTTGTAATTCACTTTCTGCAGTCTCCTTCATTGGTGATTAATTATGCCAAAAAAAAAATGCAAAATGAATACCTGTCATCTCTAGGACAATGAAACAATTTAAAAAAAAAAAAAAAAACTGGTGAACCTGAACTGAAAATTACAGTCCTTCACTTCCCTAACCCAATTTCCCTGTAATTTACAAAAGGAAAAAACAAAAGCAGAACCTATCAATATCATCTGTGTAATTTTAGATTTGGAAGTGAAATCATAGGTAAAACTATCAAAATCTAGAGAGCTCACTAGCCAAAAGAGTGAAAAATGAGAAACGATATGGTTCTGAAACTGGGGGAAAAAAATTTTACTCATTTCATTTGCAGATTGACCAAGACTTTTCATTGTAATTAGGGCCACACCCCATTAATTGACTGTTATGCACTTTACAAGCTGACAAAAACACGCGTTGAAAATTCTTGGCGCTGAAAATGTCACCTGTTTGAGGTTGACTACAATAAGAGAAGGGAAAACAATTTTTGGAATTATTCGGTTCATTGTGGACCATTCACAGTAAAAAACTTCACTGCTTCATCGTAACCCTTTGTCGATTGGTCGAAAGCATGGAGATTTCTGAATTTTTTTTTATATTCCTATTGTATTTGTGTTTGATATTTTAACACTCGTAATATGTTGAAATATATGTTGCATTTGATGGAATAGGACAAACAAGAAAATAAAAATGATAATTCTTTTGTAAATTATGATATCATATTTTTTTTATTATTGTATCTATCATTAATTTTTTAATAAAAATAAATATTTTTTAAAAATCATTTCAATATTTATTATATATTTTTAATTAATAATTAGAATATATACAAAAAAAAGTTTTCTATTAATCTAATATCATTATATTCCTGTCCTATCAAAATATATCCGTGTTTGATAGCTTGAAAGTTATAAAATTCAGATATCGCAACATGTTCTGCTGAGATATAAAGGATAGATAAAGTTTTTCAACTTCAACTTCACTATTCCATGTGGGGCACTATGATGCAATCGGATAGGTAGGTCGGGCCAGCCTGATCCAGTTAGGTCCAATGGTTTCAGGCTTTTGCCCAACTCACAAGTAGGCTTGTGGGTTTTCGTTTATAATTTTGGTTGGACCTATTATATCCCACCTTTCCTTCTTTTTTGGATGAATTTGACTTGCTTTTCAATTTTTCATTGAAGATTTTATACTAACATTCATTTAAGTGTTTTTTGTTTGATTTTAGAGTATTAGTTTTTTTAATGGGTATTTATGTTTGATTTTGAATTGATTTTGATGGGTTTTTGTTTTTTATGTTTAATTTGGACGAAAGTCTTCACCTTTGGTTATAAAAAAAAAAAAAAATTCACCTTTTTATTTTGTTATAGTGTGAACAATGATTTTACAGTGAGAACGTTGCTTTTGCAAAAAGCTTTTGGGGTTACAATGTAAAGTTACAGGGTTCAATTCATGGCTGGGTTTTGAAATTATATTCTTCTACAATAGTGTATATAATCTTTTTTTTTTTTTTTTTTTTTGCAATTGGATTCTTGAATTACAGACCAAATCATCTAAGGAGAATGATGATAAATCCAGAAAAGTCAAAGTGAAGATAGTAATTGGAGTTTGGAGCTATTCAGAAAGGCCGGACGCCAAATTTCGAAAGGATGAAGAGGTTGAAGTCACTAGTGACGAAGAAGGTAAGACAAGCACACATTGCTAGGAACAGTTTTTGTTACTTGTATTAGAGCTATTCATGCTTCAGCTTACGCTAATTTTCTCCTCTTCAAGCGAACTATGGCTTCTGCCTACCTAAGAAATTAATTCTCAGTCGTACATAGCGACAGAAATAAACAATGAAACCCACTTAGAAAGTATCTTTTGACTTTTGAGTATACCTTGTATTTACATGAAAAACATATCCATGTTGCATCCGGAGCATTCTTACTCTGGCCATAATCATCAGAACCAGTCTCATATCTCATGCTATGGTAGTCTCTGTACAATCAAATACAACTAATGCTTCTTTACTTTCTTCTTTCCTGCACTAGCTGAGCTACAGAGAGACTTGCAACCGTTTCGAATCAGTCATTGGCTGCATCTGAACCTCGATATTCATCCTTTTGTATGCTTTCATTGGTCTGCACCCTAGTGTGTCACAACTCAAAGTTGTCGATTTTTTATTTTCTTTTTCCTTTTTGGAGTTCTTTGTTTGTCTTATATATTGAATGAGCCAACTGACACCTTTTCTTTATAGAAATAGAGATGAATATATTGACTTATCTGATACTATCTTATAGAGATGTTTATAACCTAAGGAGTCTGATTCATCTCTTGAATCGCTAAACTCTGAATAACAGCCTGCGCCTTTTTTTCTCGTTTCTTTGGTAACACGATTTATGAGAAGATCTCCACTATCAACTTATGACAAGCTCTGTAACTGTTTGTTTTCTCTGATATGAATCTCATTGAAAAAGGAATATGATTATGAAGAATTGTTGGATAACTGCAAAATCATAGCTATGCCTGAAAGTAGAAGCTATTTTTTGAGACTTTTGGAACAAATGTCAAACCTTTTGGCAAGGAGCTATCCCACGGGAACGAAGGGCTGTTGAGCTGGTCTAGCCAAGTGATTTGCATTTTAGCCAGGATAGGCCCGCGTATATTACTGAGAGTTTGTTGATAAATCTTCTTAAAGCTCCTAGTTGTCTCAGAGATGCTGATTATCAAATCATAATTTCAGCAAATGTTGTTTGAAATTGGGATTTCAATAATTTAACTGGGTTTTAGCGAGCAGGTCAAAGGTCAATTTCTCTCCCAACTTTAAGCTAGCAGCTGCATTTTACACAACTTTTTATCCTTGCTCTTGCGTGAGTGATTGTAAGAGAAGATGGAACGCAGGAATTGGGCACTATAAAGCATATTCTCTCCGAACAAGCATTTTTCAGCATATTCTTCCCTTTTTCTCTACCTTGCTTAAAATCAAGTGATTTTGCCTTCCACATATATAAATAGATCATGACATCCTTCGGTCACTAAAATAATTACAAATAAACAAATGGAGGCTGTTTAAAACATTCAAAGGACAATAAATACACAGATTTAAGAAATTTTAAACATGCAAGTAAAGAAAGCTCTCTTTCTTGCATTATTTTCCCAGCTCCTTCGTTTCCTCCACTAAACCCTTCACCTCTTCATTGACTATCTGAACTTTAAACGCTGATACCGGGAATGACCTGGACAAGCCGAACAGAGTCTTGAACGTAATTGAGGCAGAAGGAGATTCTTCGACGGAGATTTCTGTTAAGGTGACCCAAAACATGAACTCCTTGGCTTTGACACCAGTCAGATTCTTGATCTTGTTTGGCTCGAAATAAGCTGTAATTTCAGTTTCGTAGCTGATGACGACATCGTCAAACTTGTTCAAGTCCCTCTTCTTTTTATGCCGGAGCCAGACAAAGCCGGTCTCCTCAACGTACCCACATTCCTGTATGTCTTGCAAAGTTAGCAAGCCATTAGGCAAGCCTTTTCTTGTAACAACAACGTGAACTTTTCTCTGCATGTTTCATCCCCATAATAAACTTCAGCTTTGGCCTTCATTTCGTGCGTTACTAGAGACATCTTTCGCGGTTTTGCCTTCACCTTCGGTGCGGTGTTTTTGGTTTTATAGAACAAGGATTGGGATGAGGGTTTGAGGTGGAGGTAGAGTATTGAAATGGTATTTCATTTCAAATTAAACTCTTTCGCTTATTGGAGCCTGGAGGGACGTGCTACGTGGTCATATTATCCGATCTCATGACAAGAACCACTTGTTTCCATATATAATAAGAAAGTTTACAGAAAACTTTGAACTTTCTTGAAGAAAAATTTACCCTCAAAACCTAATGTCGTCATGATAATAATAGTATACCATTTGTCCTTTATGAAAGTTAGTTTTTTTAATTTCAATTTCTGACATAGAAATATAATGGATAATTATTTTGCCAATAGGTTGTAAAAACAGGAGAAAGAAGAAAAGATGACACTTGACGTTACTCCTTTCACACGATGTTAGGCATATAAACATATGTCAGGGGCCGAGACTCCCAATTGGGTAGTTGGGTAGTCTCCCTTGTGGCCTTCAACACCCCGGATCTGGATCCGGATCCGGACGCCGATCTTGACATAAACGTACCCCTGAAATAACTCTTTTCTATTCCATACACCATTTTTTTCACATTAAAATGTTCAACGAATTCTAACGTTTTCTTTTTTTCTTTTTTTTGTTTTTAATAGAGACTTGTTTCTAAATACTAACATTGGAAATGGATCATCATGTTCTCTTTTTCAAGTTTACCTTTTCTTTTCTTTTGGGCTTTATGTATTTTATATTATCCAGCTGAATTCTTCTGGGTTTTGTCATATTTTCTTGAATGCGAAGTGGCTAGTGGACCCCTTAACAAGTTTGTGAAGGGCCCACAAGTCCAAACTCACTGCGATATCATCGCAGCCATTGAGAACGCTAAAAAACTTGTTCAGATAACCAAATTTTACATTAAGCTGATCGCCAATCAATCCACAATAAAATTCCTCTAACTGCCATCTCCTACCAGCACAATTAGTTTTACCAATCGATTCTTTAAAACCCTAAAAGAAGAAAAAAAAAAAAAAAAAGGACTTTTCTTTGTCTCATAAATGAAAGTTTCAATTCCTATCTCCAAATTTATGCATCTGGTCAGTGAAGTTTAATCTTTATTTTTTAGTTTTCTCAATTGAATTATGAATTTGAGAGATGGGTTTTTTCCCTGACGAAGTTAGCGTACAAATTCTTGCAAGATTGACTGTAAAGATCCTTTTTTAAAACAAAAACTGTTTGCAATCTTTGGTATAGATTAGCATAAGGTAAGTAGTTTATAAGACTGTATTATGAGGTGTCCGCTAAGAATCCTATGGTCCTGGTTGAGATTTTTGATTCAACGGAATCAAAATCAAGCTTGATTTGTTGGGAATATTGACTCAAATCCCATAAGAGATTTGTTTGAGATTTGTTTGAGATTTGTCAGATATTGCTTGATGGACAAGAAGACTTGCAAAAGAAGAATTCCAAGAAAAAGGGGATTCTTAATAGGTAAGTTTGACTTGCAAGAGAAGAATTTTAAAAGGAAAGAGATTCTTAATAGGCAAGTTTAACTTACAGGAGAAGAATTCTAAGATGAAAGGGATTCTTAATGGGCAAGTTTGTATGGTTATAAATAGGTGAAGTCTCTACAATTTGGTATGAGAAAAAGATGTAAGAGACTTGTAGGGTTTTGTGGGATGACACCTCATAGGAGTATTGGGGCTTTACATCTTATGGGTGTGTATGTTTGTTTGTGAGTGGACTAGAGGAGATTGAGAAGGTCCACATAGGTATGATGTATGAGAGCATATGGGTATGTGTTTGGTTATGTTGAAAGGATGCACAAGGGTTTGAGTTTGTATTTGTTTAGGTTGAGAATACTCCATAAGACTAGAAGAGATTGAGAGTGTCTTATGAGTATTGATTGTTAAGTGAGGTTGATGATTTGATGTAAGTTTGTAATTCTCTACAACTAGTGGATCTTTTTTTCTCATCCGTGGATGTAGGTCAGTTGGACCGAACCACGTTAAATTGCTGTCTCTTTTGTGTTTGATTTATTGTTTGATTTCGCTTCCGCTGGTATGATTGGATTGGAGGCTTTTAGCCTAACAAATGGTATCAGAGCTGTGGTGTTCCCCAACAAGTGTTATCAGAGCTGAAGGTTCGAAACGTGAAAAGAGTTGAAGATTCAAGATGTGGAAAGAGCTGATAGTTCGAGACATGGGAATAGTTGACAGTTTGAGATATGGGAAAAGGAAGAGTTCGAGTTCGAGTTTTGAAGATTAAAGATTGGTTTGTATGAAGTGTGAAGACACAAGAGAAGAGAAGATGATTGTGAGACTTTCATTACAGGTGGAGCCAAGCATGTCTAGCATGAAGACAGATGATTGATGAAATTTGAGTCAAGGTGGAGATTGTTGGGAATATTGACTCAAATCTCATAAGAGATTTGTTTGAGATTTGTTTGAGATTTGTCAGATATTGCTTGATGGACAAAAAGACTTGTAAAAGAAGAATTCCAAGAAAAAGAGGATTCTTAATAGGTAAGTTTGACTTGCAAGAGAAGAATTCTAAAAGGAAAGAGATTCTTAATAGGCAAGTTTGACTTACAGGAGAAGAATTCTAAGATGAAAGGGATTCTTAATGGGCAAGTTTGTATGATTATAAATAGGTGAAGTCTCTACAATTTGGTATGAGAAAAAGATGTAAGAGAGTTGTAGGGTTTTATGGGATGACACCTCATAGGAGTATTGGGGCTTTACATCTTATGGGTGTGTATGTTTGTTTGTGAGTGGACTAGAGGAGATTGAGAGGGTCCACATAGGTATGATGTATGAGAGCATATGGTTATGTGTTTGGTTATGTTGAAAGGGTGCACAAGGGTTTGAGTTTGTATTTGTTTAGGTTAAGAATACTCCATAAGACTAGAAGAGATTGAGAGTGTCTTATGAGTATTGATTGTTAAGTGAGGTTGATGATTTGATGTAAGTTTGTAATTCTCTACAACTAGTGGATCTTTTTTCTCATCCGTGGATGTAGGTCAGTTGAACCGAATCACGTTAAATTGTTGTCTCTTTTGTATTTGATTTATTGTTTGATTTCGCTTCCGCTGGTATGATTAGATTGGAGGCTTTTAGCCTAACATGATTTGAGTTGATAATTAAAGAGGTGTCTCTGTTTTTTCGTTGGATTTCTTGAAAATAAGAGTCAAGGTTAGAGCTTCATGTAATGGCTTGTTGTGTACTTCTAGCATTCCTGATAAGGGTGTTTACTACATTTTTAACCCTGTGACTGGAGAGTTTAAGCTGCTTCCTAAGAGTAAAGAGAGGCCTGTCACGCGGTTTTATCTGCATGGTGAAGCCACGCTTGTTGGCTTGGCGTGCGATTTATCAAGGAATAAGTTTAATGTTGTGTTAGCGGTGCATCATTGTAGGTTTGGTCATAGATCTGATGGGACTTTTATATGTTTGATATTCGAATCGGATTTGAATGAGTGGAGGAAGTTTGTTTCCTTTCAAGAAGATCAGTTCACCCATATGAACAGGAATTAAGTTGTATATGTTAACAGTGCCCTTCATTGGTTGACTTTTAGTTGTTCCTGTATACTTGCACTTGATCTGGATTATGAGATTTGGAGGGTGATTTCATTGACTGATGAAGTGAGTTATGGGACTGGGAATAGAGTTTATTTTTTGGAGTTCAGGGGGTGTTTACCTTTGAATCAGATTTCAGATGCATGGATGGAGATTTGGGTGATGAAAGACTATGAGAGGGAACTGTTGCATATGGTAGATGGGGTGAGTCTTAGGGGGACTAGGACCTGGCATTTTCCCTATCACTCAAACTGGAGAAATGTTTATTTTTTGGCAATCCGCAAGCAGGTCTTAGCATACCATCAGAGGAGTAGAGTGTGGAAGGAGATGTACCTGAAGAACAGTGCTAACCTTCCATTGTGGTTCTCAGCACATGCATTTCGGAACACAATCTTCCCTTGTGATTAAGGTGTGGTCAACCTATAATAAACTGTTGTACATAAATAACTCATTTCAAACATTGTGACTCACACATTTGTGAATTTTAAACTCTTTCTTTATCATTTAAATTTATTGTATGCAGTTATTCATATGGCCAACTTACTAAGCCGAGTATGATTGTGGTTCTGAAATTTGTAACTTTTTTTTTTTTGGCAAAAGTTATGATCACAAGTTATTAATTATAACCTTTAAAGCAGTATTCAAGTAATTGGTGGTAGTGGGACAAAATCATGACATGGTTGAGAGTGTTTGAAGCATGTTAAGTGCGTTTTGGCACACCATCACTAGGGTTAATCAAAGCTTGGTTAATTTTAGTATTCGTTGAATTCATAGCATCTCAGTTCAACCCAGCAAAGATAAATGCCTACATTCTATCCTAGAAAAGTGGTTATTATTTTCACCTTTGTTTCCCGATCCAGGTTTCCCTCTCTTAAAAACCTGTTCCGGAATTGTTTACCTGTTGAATGCTAGAACTTTTTCTTCTCCAGAAAAAGAAAGGAAAGGCAGATCACGTATCACCAGTGGCTCTTATTTTTGTAGTCATTTTTGTATCATACTTTTAGGGTGGATATGAGGTCAAATATTGTGCATGTTACTTTTCCCCTTTTATCTTCTATCTTGAAGCCTGAAAATGAAGTGGGTATGTTATGAAGTGATGCCTTTAGCTTTCTGCATAACATTCAAGGCTGAGAAACTGCTTTATATGTTTTAATAATTGAATGGAATGTAGTCTGTGGAATTTATTGCAGGAATGGTTTGGTTTTAGTTAGATTGAATCTGTAATAAACAAATTCAAGGAGGCAAACATCATATTTCCAGAAAGATAATCGCTTTTATACCAGCATGTGTTTGAGCTTTTACCATACCATGTTAATGTTCAGAAGCAATAAGTTGAGCCTAGTTAAAGTGTTTCTTATTAACTTGATTTCCAGTTGGTCACAGATTATATCTGGCTCCGGCACTAGAGTCCATGCGCACTCGCTCCAACTTCTCATTGAAAAACCCAAAGTTCAGTTCTTATCATGCGGATTTAATTGCCAATTTAAGAGGATAATGTCCTTGTACATTCTTAGAGCAGCATTTTTCCAATTAAACTTTGTTAATACAGATGGATCATAAATCATAATCTTAACAAAAGACGTACTGGATTTTATTATTATTATTATTTTATCAAAAACCTTACAAGCAAGATGAGTTTTGTAATCCCAAGGGTCTTCACGGAAAAGACGATGGCCATTTATTAGCTTCATGAAACCAAACCCCTCCTAATCCTCCTCCCGAGTCAGTAACTGATGAACATCAATACCCCGCCTGGCAATTTTGGGGTTTGACCAAAGTTCCCCCATTTGCCACATTACAACCCCTTCAGCCTTGTTGTCATTCAAGTAGAAATGCATCAGTATCACTAGCAAAAGAACTCAGGTAATCAAAACCATGGTACCTTCCTTTTCCTGTGCAGCCATTGTTGCCATTTCTTCCCTGTTCTCCCTCCTTCCTCCAGCATATTCTTCAGACTCTTTCGTAGATTATAAAAACTCCTAACTTGGTCCCTAAATCCGATGTGAATGTGTTAGTTTCCTGTGAATTTAGAGGCTGAGTTTTTCTTGTACGCTGCTTTGGGTCTTGGTTTGGATAAAGTTGCTCCAAATTTAACCATTGATGCCAAAAAGGCCAATCTCTAATGCTTTGACGAAAGATGTAATCCTACAATTTGCTTTCCAAGAAGTCGGAAACTTTGAAGTACGTGTCTTCTCTGATATTTACTCTCTTTCAGAATTTTGCATACACTTGTTTCTCTGCATGACAGGTTATGGAACTACATTCTTGATGCAGGCAATTAAGAAGACAAGTGAGAGGATTTCCAAGGCCATAACTTGATTTGAGTGCATCATCATTTGCAAAAGTAATAGATCATGCATTTGGGAAGCCATTGGAGCCCCCGTTTTTTTTATGCCTCTAGCATCAACTACCTGATTGCTCCTACTTAATTCCTTATGTTGGACTAACTCTATATATAAGTGGAAATGAAAGCGTCTTCGGAGGGTTCCATCCCAAAGGGAGCTATTGGCTGAATTGCCAGTTCTCATTTACATAGTGGTTATCGCTAAGTAGATTGTTTTAGTCCACCAGGTTTCCTTTGCTTAAAGAAATTGTGCAAACAATCTGTACCATATATTTTTTTTAATCATAAATGATTTGAATTAGAGAGTTGATTATCAATTTTCTCCTGGTTATCAATCAAAATTCAAAGGCCAAGACTCATTTACAGTATAGAAGGTAAAAAAAGAAAAGAAAAAAAAGCAATGAAATGTAGAAGGCAAAGCCACATTGAGTAGAAAAAAAATGGTATAACCACACTTGAAAGTAAATAGAATGTTTATCCTGCTACAATCCAATACAAAATAAATTATGTTAAACAACAATTCAGCAAGAGCGAATTCTCCTCTAAATCTGCCTTGGTACAAAAAGAATGCCCGAACACATTCTCATCCATTACCTAGAATATCATCCAAGATATGAATTGGTCCCAAATGACCCAAGTTGTTAAACAAACAATGGATTAACACATGCCATGTTGCAACATTGGGACATATCCCTTCATTTATCATCTTATTAAGGTGACTGATGGCCTCTTCTATACCAATCCAATTACAGAGGCCCCATAGAAGACTGGTGTATGAAATTATGTCTGGATGCCAGTCACCCCCAGCACGAATGCGATCAAAAAGTTGGACAGCAATCTTCACCTTACCCCGCTTACAGTAGGTAAACATTATTATGTTAAATGTGATTGCATCAGGTTTTATACCTCGAGCCAGCATTTTCCCAAAAAGTTGCAGAGCTACATCAAGCATACCAGGATGACAAAATCCAGACAAAATGGTATTGTAAGTGACTAAATTCCATTCTATCCCTCTTTCTTCAATCTCCCTCACAAGCTCAAATGCTTCTTCTAGTCTATTTACTTTGATGAGACCATCCAGTAGCTCATTATATGTTATGATGTTAGGTGCACAACCATAATTCCTCATTTGATCCAGTGCTTTTATTGCCCAATCAATTCTTCCACTACTACATAAACCTTTGATAAATGCGTTGAAAGTAACTGTGTTAGGAGAACAGTTTTCCAATGCCATCTTCTCTATAAGAGAATGAGCTTGGTCAAACATGCAATGCCGACAAAGGACATCCACCATGCTGGTGTATGCCACAACGTTGGGATGACAACCATTAGTCATCATTCTGTTCCATGTTTCAGATGCACCAACCAAGTCACTAACCTTTGCAAATCCATTAATAAGAGAGCTATATGAGGTTACATTTGGAGGGCAGCCATTTTCCTCCATCTGATAGGAGACAGATAAAGCCTCACCCACCTTTCCATTTAAGCAGAGACCATGTATTACAGTGTTATAGACAACCACATTTGCTTCAAGTCCCTCTCTAATCATCTGGTTCCAGAAGTCAAACGCTTCATGCACCTTTCCTGCCATGAAATACCCCTTTATCAAGGAAGAAAAGGTGTAGATATTGGGGCTGCATCCTCTCACAAACATCTTGGCAAAAACTGCAAGCGACAACTCAACATTTCCCACACTAGAAAGGGAACTGATAATCATCGAATACGTTCTAACATCAGGGTCTAATCCCTCCACCAACATTTCTTCTAACAAACCAAGGGCCTCCTTAAGCTTGTATTCCCCACAAAATCCACTTATCAAAGCATTATACACACTCACATATGATCTAAATCTCATCACGAGCTCCCTTGCTTCTTCAACCTTACCAAGCTTACACATTGAAGAAATTATAGTGGTATAGCACATAGCATCTGGAGAATACCCCACGCTTGCCATTTCATTTATCAACTTGCAAGCACTATCTATCTTATTATTCATACACAAAGCTTTCAAAAGAATATTATAAGTCTGCAAATTCGGCTCCAAACCATCTCTCTTCATATTACCATATATCGGATGAATCATGGAAAACCTTTTTTCACTAAGCAATGCATCCAAAACATGGTTATAAATCTTAACCGTTGGTTCACAACCAAATTCCTTTATCCTATAAAACATTTTCAAAGCTTGTTCACCTAACCCCTTTTGGTGATAAGAATCAATCACAATTACAAACAAGTCCTCACTACAGCTAATTCCTTCTAACTTCATCTGTTGTAAAAGATATTGGATACCATCTATTTCAGATTCAAGTGCAAGCTTATGGACCATGCATTGGTATGTTTTCAGGGTGTGTTTAAAGGAATTTGAATTGGCTATGGATTTGAAATAATGTAAAGCTAAAGAAATGTTGGGTTCTTGTTTTAATACGTTCAGTACTTGGGATTCTTCGAATTGGTTTTGGTTTTGTTCAGTTTGGGACTCTTTGTTGGGTTTTAAAAGTGGGTTTGTGTTTAAAATAAATGGGATTGAAGGTTTCCTAACTTTCAGCAATAGAGAACGTCCTTCTCTTAAGTACATGATTAAAAACTGAAGCTCAAAATTTCACTTCCTGAATTCAGGAAACAAAAATGAAACTAACAAAAAGAAGTACCTTAAACTAGAGGGGCCAATCTGCTTTGAAGGGTTTGAATCTGAACTGCAAAAGACTCGGACTGAAGAAAACAAGGACGCTGTTGCAGAGAACAAGAACTCAGAGTACAAAAGGGTGTAACAAGACGCCTTTTTATTTCTCGAAAAGCACTATGTGGGGAATATTTTTGTAATTTAGAAAAACCAAATGGGAAGTAATCGAAATTATAAAAAGTATAGGGGGTTATAAAGAATTAATTATAACAATTACAATAAAAGCACAAACAAATCCAGTCGGCCGTCTGTCTCAAAGTGAATTCTCAGTAGCAGAACGCAAGAAAAAAAGGGCCTCTCCAATCCTCCGATCTTCTGGGTAAATCTTTGTTTTCGTTTTTTTTTTCTTTAAATTAAAATTTTCTTTTTTGTTCTTATGTTTGTAACACTCTGCTTTCATAATAATAATAAAAAAAAACCCATTTTTTTAATTTGTATTTTTCTTGTTTGTTTTTGAATGTTTCTGGTTGCTTAGATCTATTACCATCCTTGCTTTTCAATTACGTTGGATGTGAAAGTCGGTTAATTTTCTTATTTTCTTTCATAATAATTAGTTGAAATTTCGAAATTTTGATAATAAATCTGCTTTCTTTTGATCAAAGCTCCGAAATTTGAAAGTTGCTGCCTTTTCTTTTCTTTGGTCAATGGGTTAGTAAAGCTTAGCATTTTCTCCCACCATGCCCATGAATTTGTATTATGTAGTTTTCATGGTCACTTCTTGAGCAATCCCAGTTATTCGGATAATATTTTCTGTCATAGTCAAAGAACGAATTGACCCGTAATATGATAAATTTCAATGAGATAAATGCTTTGGGTAATAGTGAATTGATCTTTTAGATTAGCACAGTTAGTGCTTTAGGATTGTTTCTTCGGGTTGCTTTGAAAGACCTTGTTTAATGATTCCGTTGTATAGGAAACCTTCTCTGTTACCTTGTGACATTGGAATGCTTGCATTTTATGTTGCTATGCTGGTTTAAGTGGTTTGCTTATGCTTCATTAGCTAATTCATGCACTATGTTATATGGTTTCTGATATCTTTCTTTGTTTCTTTAAAAATATGGAAGCAATAGTGTTAGTGGTTTATATAAAATTCGTAGATAATTCATTGCCTATATTTTGTTTCCAGAAAGTTGTAAACCACGTAAAGAAGAAGTTATGGCTGGACATAGTGATTCAAGTTCATCTGAGAAGAAATCAGGTGAAGCTATGACTGATGTACCAACTTTTAGTGCGGAGAATTTGCAAAACAACATGAAAGTTATATATTACAGGTTAGTTTTCACATTTAGTGAGATAATAAATTCTGTCTCGATTCCAATATCTAAGCATTGTTTTAATTTGCAGCCGGACATTTATGTCTATCACTGGAGGGGTTATTGCTGGAATTTTTGGGTTCACAGGCTTTGTGGGGTTTATCTTCTATTTTCTTGTCATGACAATTACTTCAATTGGACTCATAGCAAAGGCAAAGTTCTCAGTTCATTCATATTTCGATAGCTGGAACCGGATTATACTCGATGGATTGATGGGTGGACTTATGGTAAGCTTCTTTATGTTTTGAGTTGCAATTCATTTTCCATGTTACATCTTCTAAACTGTCTGCATAAAGTTCCTCATGTGAACATTCTACTTGAGGAATCAAAATTTTCTGCCTTGCTTGGGTTGTGCTTCATCTATTCTTTAATAATTTTATCGGCTAACTATGTTCTTATATTTTTGCAGTCATTCGTGCTATTCTGGACGTATCCATTCTTTAAGTTGAGAACCTTCATAAGTGTTACATAGATACACAGCAGCACTCACTGTGGAACCTAGTTGTTAAATCTTATATACTGTCTGTTTTATTTCGTGAGATGAATGTCACTTTCAGCCTTATAGCATCTACCATTTAGATATGTCATGTCTAAATTGCTTAATTAAGTTAAGTAATAATGCAACCAAGTTGGTTTGGCTGGCCCAGCAAATCTTAGGAGTAAAATTTCTTTGGCTTCCAATTTAAGATCCATTTTTGTCAGTTGTTGCTTTCTTTAACAAAAATAGATTTGCCTATGACATTGTGCATATATTCTGAAGAAGTCTCTGCTACATCTTGCCTGAAAAGAGAAGCTGTGTTTTGTTGTCCTTGCTGCTGGCTACAACATAGTCTTGTTATCCTTGCAATTCGAGAAGACTCCTTTCTATAATGGTATCCATCTGGTAATCGTTATGATCTTTACCTTTTGATTCACTTCTATTGCTTTTAGCATTTCCTTAATCAAACCTTGTTGAGATATTTTCAGTCTTTATGTTTGTAGCTTGTTGCGAATATAGAGAACACCTCTGAGATTGTAAGATGGAATTTTGAACTCTGAAAAACATGATCATTCCAAGTTAGTTTCGCAATGGAGTCCTAAATTTTTATGCATGCTACTGATTTTGTTCCCTATATAGCTTATGTTCCGTATCCTCAGACTCGATTGACTTCTCCCACTGAATAGTGAGTACCAATCATGTGATGAATGAATTCTTCAACTTTTCATTTCAATTGTAAGGCAATGGAGCAATACTCTTCCAATGGTACACTGATGCACAGGGTTGTGGTGACAGCCTTTTAGTATTTCTATATTTTTATAATTCTCCCACATGCATATTTCAATATAATCAAGAATGTAGGATCAGATATTGGAACTTACGAGATTATTGGGTTCTATTTGCTAGTTGAGAGAATCAATCTTAAGCAATAACTCCTATCAACATCTGAAGGATTCCAAGGAACACGAAAGATACGAGTTTAAGATGCTTGAGATTACAATAGCAGTAATCAAGTTGTTGACGAGTGGCCTGTAGCTTTTGTTGGCACAAATGCTGACTTAAGTATATTTGTTAAGTTAAAGAGCCTGTAAGATATCTTTAAACAAGTTTAAAAAAAAAAAAAAAAAAAACATGGTACATGAGTAACGAGTGATTTGAGATTTCAATATGACGCCATTTACTTGCTGCAACATATATGAAAGTGGTAAGCATGAAATTCAACAAATATATATATATATATAAAATATTATATAGACGGTGATAAAAACAAGGATCGATAATCGAGTAAAAGCAGAGAACTGCCAGCCAAGCCGAAAGAAACCAAAAGATTACGCTAGGTCACAGGAAATGAGTCAATAAATAAGCGTACATTACATAATGCTAGTGTTACAGATTTACACTTCATTTTCCATGTACTTCGATGACGGGAAATGATGATAGAGGTGGCAGTTTTCAAAAGTTACGTCCAGGTTCATCTTCAATGGCGTAATTGATGTTGACACTTGACTTTAAAATTTGCCCAAGCCGACAAGCCTTGTGTGTCTGCCTGTATCTGCTGTTACCATCCTCATTCCGCAGTCAGGCCCATGCCAAGGCTCAGGCCCCCAGTAAGTGCTACCAAGCTTTCATTTAAGAAACACATTCTGAAAAACTATTGCCCAGAATTCTGGCCCATAATTAAATATACAGTATCTTACTTTTTCGGTTCTCCCCTCTCCCATTTCTTTAACTCATTTCTTTATTTTAATTTTTACTCGTACCAAATTAAAAGAAGCTGGTTCCAGGTTTACCATATCATCAGATTAGAGATTGGGTTCGCAAGATGTTGGCATTGACCTGTTAAAGATCCACGAGCCCAGTTGAACCAGAATCAGATCATACTTGTATGATCTTAAATCTTACTCTCGAGAATCTAAGCCCATTTTCAAAAAATACATGCCCCTCCGGACCTTACCCAATCAATTCTCAATTTGCTAGTAAAGTCATTATTTATTAAAAAAAAATCCAGATAATTTCGATCAATCAATTGAAAATTGCAACCAGACCCATCATCATCATGCAAAAATCAAATGCCATCCAAAAATCATTCAACACATCATAAGAATTTTTAAGAAACAAAACCTGACTAGAAAAAAAACATGCTATCATCCTAAAAGATGGGGATTCTCAAAGTCTACAGTTTAATCCAACTCCATAATCTTACACAAATTCCAAACCAATTGTTCCTAGTAGTTTTCTTTTTTCAGAGAACATAACTATGCATTACCAGATTGAACATGTAAACACTACAAGTACTGAACCATGATGATACAACTAAAAATAGAATGCGTAACGCATCCTATCATATTCTTTCTAGACAAGGAAGAGATGTTTTTTAAGAGATAGAGATTGACCTATGTGGCAATTGTCACTGGTCATTCCTCAAACCAAGGGGCCAGCCCTATCGTTTCGAGGGTCTCTCATCATCCTCTCCACCACCACCATCACCATCATCAGAATCATCTCTGTCCGATCTCTTCCTCTTAGGTGGAGCTTCAATCTTTCCACCAGCCTCATCATCATCTTCATCTTCCTCCTCTTCCTCTACATCCTCCTCACCATTTTCTTCTGGCTCAAAATCACTAGCATCTTCCTCGTCTTCAGCACGAGCGACAGGTCGGACAAGGTATTCTGTTCCGATATCCTCCTAGAAAACAGGTAAAAGCAATGACAAAAGGAATATTAACAAACCAATTTTCCAATAGATATTCCTAGTTGCCAAACATGGAACAAATTAAAGATGATGCCAACCAAATAAAAAGTACAGTAAGATTGAAAAATTGCTCAAAAAAATGTTTTCATTAAGAAACAGAATTTACTGGAATTTAAAAGTCCTTTGATAAAACTGAGGAGATCCCGCAGCTGGATAATTAACTGAGAAACAAAAGGATACAAATTCGAAGTATAAGCCCAGATCTAAAGCTTCATACTCAGAATTTAAAAGCTCTAAACTATCCAAAGCACGACGGAGAGATTTTGTATTTTGGATTATGATACCGGCCATCAGCTATAGTAACTAAGCTGAATCAATTCTATATAGTTTTAGATCTGTGAAGTTATGGTGATTACATAACTGTAATAATTAAAGAAACAGTTAATGGAGTGAAAGCCGCCTCTTATATTCTCCTTTACTCCACGTAGAAAAGGAAGAACAGATCTGACAGGAAAACTTAGGAAACACCAATATCCTTCGAGAAATGGTATAATACATGAAAAATTAAGCTCGATTTTTAAGTAGGCACATAAAAGAACTCCAAAGATTTGAGGCTTAACGTCAGATTGGTGAAAGAATCTAACAATTAACAAACTAATTAAAAGAAACACCGGATCTGAACAATCTCGGCAGAAAAAGACTTGAAAGTACAAAATTTTGAAACAATCACAATAATTAACTGGAATTAAAGTAGATTAAAAGAAGTTACCTCCTCTTCACCTTCATCATCATCATCGCTGTCGTCGTCGTCGTCGTCGTCATCGCCGCCGCCTTCACCGTCGTCCTCGTCGTCTTCATCATCTTCGTCCTCATCGTCATCCTCATCATCATCAACTGACTGCAGCGGAGGACCACCCGAAGAAGGGATAACCTGCACTTCATCATCATCATCCTCTTCTTCTCCGTCTTCATCGTCGTCATCATCTTCGCCGTCATCATCATCTTCGTCGTCGTCATCCTCTTCTTCTTCTTCTTCTCCACCGCCTTCTACTTCACTTTCATCTTCACCGTCCGCCTCTTCCTCTTTCATAGACCTAATTTCCTTTCCATCTTCAAATTCACTCTCTTCTTCCATCAACTTCATCTTCAGAAAAACTCGAATGAAATCTTCTCTCTTTTTCTTTTTTCTCGGGAAAAAAAAAAACAGAATTAAAATCAGAAATTTGGAAGAGAGAGAGCAGGGAAAAGAGAGAGAGGAAGCTTGTTTGCTCTCTCTACCAGTAGCTTCTGCAACTTCGATCTCAGCCGTTGAAACGAGGATTCACGCGGATGCTGACGTGGAGAGAGATCGAACGGTCTAAATGAGAGAATATGTAATTTTTGTGGTATTTGGATCATTGCGGCGCGCCCATTAACGCTTTGCTTCATCAGCCGCTTGTCACGTGCGAGGAACTAGTTGGGTGTTGGGAGAATCTAGGGTTAAGGGGTTTTTTTCTTTTTTTTTTTTTTTCAAAAAAATTCATTGCAAAGTTAAGCTGGCCCGTTAAATTTAAATCCATAATTCAAGGGCTGAGTCTATAATTTGGAAATGTTCACTTAAGGGCCCAAACTCACTGTGCATTGTAAAGCCTAAGCCTCTACGTTGTATTTTGCAAGAAAAAAAATCATAAAATTTTTTCTACAGTGGATTAATACTTTTTTTTTTGTTTTGTTATTTGAAAGAAACTTAGATTTTGAAAGAGATATGATATAAAATAAACGCTTTGTTTTTTATAGAGTGAAATGATAGATATTTTAACCCTTCAGGGTATATTAAGATTATTATTTTATAGGTCCATAACATTTTTAATTTTACAAATAAGATTATATTATTACATTTTTTGTTGATTTAAAATTTTACTCATAAGTTATATAAAATAAATAAAATATTATTAATATTTTACACTTTTTAATTTTTAAACAATATTAAAATTATTAACTTATATAATTATTATAATATGATTATTTTTAATACTTTTCAAATAAAATAATTTTTAATCTTTAATAATACCAAATATAATTATATTTAATTCTTAAAAATTATCAATTGTTAATCAAACAAAATAATTTTAAATCATAAATAATAATACTTCCTTTGTCTTATATTATTTGTCATGTATTGATTTTTACAAAATTAAAAAAATTTGACTTTAATATATTTAATATTTAAATTTAAATTTTTTGTTATAAAATTAAATTTTCATTATTTTTAATGTCAAAAAATTAAAAAATTATAAAAGTAATCTTAAAATATAAAAAAAATAAAAGTTTGAGATATTCAAAAAAAATAGTATATCATTTTGAAATATCCGAAAAAAAAAAGGATAGACAAATAAAATGAGATTGAAAGAGTATTATTGTAATAATAAGTTCAAATATTTATCATAATGACAATGAAAATTATACTAAATATTATCTTCCAGAAACTAATACATACAATGTTGAATATGGAATTTTCTTTTGTGAAATAATAAAATTTCAGAATGAAGTTTTGATACGCAATTGTTGAATGAAGTAGATAAAAATATGAGATAAAGATTGTAAATAAAATAAAATAAAAAAGTTTATCATCTAAATTAATAAAGAATGATTTGACCAGTTTGAAAAAGAAAACCTACCTAAATTAATCAGCCTGGCCTAAATTATTGACCTCAAAACTCAAAACAAAGAATGCACGTGGTAGTTGAGTTTCGCTGAAACTTGCAATCCATGTGAAGGCTCTTTAAATGGGTAATGCGTACTCAACAATTTATCTCCCATAGTTTTTAGCCGGAGGAAATCTAAATAAATTTAGAAATTTTCTTTAATATATATACTGCTGAAAAACTTAATTAGCAAAATTAAAATATTATCATATATTGAGTTATTTAATATTTCCCTTGACTCATTTTATTTATTCATTTTTTTAGATGTTTTAATTTTTATTTTATTTTTTTTAATGTTTAAAAATTTAAAATTGTTTTTTATATTTTTTTATTTTTAACATTAAAATTTATAAAATTTTAATTTACTAAAAAATTAAATTTTAATATTAAATATATTAAAATTAATTTTTTTTAACCTTATGAAATATTTTAGAACGAAAAGAGTAAATTTATATGTAAAGTTTATAGTGTTTGAATATGATACGGATCTGTTTGGCATGTAGCTTTCAAAGCCCTACCAAGAAGCTACTAAACAACAAACAATGCCAACATGAAAACAACTCGGGTTTACCTATCCAAAGAAAAATGAAAACACCTTGGCTTAAAATGACTAACAAATTCCATTGGGTTTTAATATATTGCTTGTTTCACTTTTAGATGATGATAAAAAGATTAACAAAATTTTGTACAACAAAAGGTTAATTAATATGAAAAATTATTACTCTCTTTGTCTTTTTTTTTTAATTCTTTTTTTAGATATTTCAAAATTACGATTTTTTAATATCTAAAATTTTTACATTTTTATATTTTAAAATTATTTTTTATGATTTTTTTTCTGTTGATATTAAAAATTATGAAAATTTAATTTTATAAAAAAATTTAATTTTAATATTATATATATTAAAATCAAAACTTTTTTTCTTAAATTTCGTTAAAATTAATATATGACAAATAATTTGGGATGAAAGGAGTATTACAATTTTAAAAATATTAGTTATGTATTTGAATATTTAATTTAATCATTGATACAAATTAAAGTTAAAAAAAATTTTAACAAAAAAATTAATTAAAATTTGAGTTTGATTTGATTATCATGCACCTAAAAAATATTTGTTAGTATTTATCTAGATGACTTTAACTCACCTAAGATAATTAGATGTATAAATTATTTTTCAAATAATTAATTTAGTCCTCATGAAAGATTGATTTTGTTTGTTTTTTTTTTCCTTTAATTATTTTTTAATGTTTATTTATTTATTTATTACATAAAAATTATAATGGGAAAATAAGGGAATGAATCAAAATATTTGCAAAAAGAAAATAATAAAAGAAAAGGAAAACCCGGAAACATCACATCATTTCAATAGCCCTAGGCTTCTGGCTGGATAAAATATAAAAGTAATGTTTTGTTTTTGAGCAAATTAATTCCGCGTTTTCTATACGTGTGTATATCTGCTGCGTGCCCGCGTCTTCGTTATCACTATATTAAAAAACGGATAAATTTAAATGAAATTAAATTCACATGTTTATGTCTGTCGTCCTTGCTCACATCAGCTTCAACTAAAATTAATGCACAGCTAATTCATGCAATTGGGTTTTCGTAGCTGGATTACATGGACTTTATTAAACCAAGCCTACAAGAATTTTATATAAACTATATATTTCTATTATTATTCATACCTATAATAGTATTAAAAAGAACAAAAAAATTCACATAGGTTAATTTAATAGATAAAAAAGATTTTTTTACAATACAATTAAAAAATAAAATTTTAAATATATTATATTCACTCTTCAAAAATTATCATGTATTAATTTTTACGAAATTAAAAAATTAACTTTAATATTAAAATTAAACTTTTTTATAAAATTAAAATTTCATGATATTTTATGTTAAAAAAATTTAAATATAAAAAAATTAAAATTTTAGATGTTAAAAAAAGTAAACATAATTTTAAGACATTTCAAAAAAAAAATGATGAATAAAAAAAAAGATAAATAGAGCATTAATTTTAAAAATAAAATGTTTTGGTGTTATAACGTGAAAATTATAAATTCCAAAAATTTATTTCTATAATTTACTTATTATTTTTTAACCAAATAAACATAAAAGTAGGAAGTTTAAATATAAATTAAAAATTAAAAAAAAAAAGAAGAAAATGTGGAAATATCCAACTAATAATAGTTTTAAATCCAACTTTCTGGTTAAGCTAGAAGACTCGTCTAGGACGGTTGGACGTTGGACCCCATTCACCGGTATAAGAACAAATCCCCCGTCGCGGCTAGAAAACAGAGCCAGATGTGCCCCATGTGGTCCCCGTTAGTTTTCCGCTGGCCGGTCATCGAATTCTCCCTTCCAACATCGGTTTTCCGTTGGCCTGACTTCAACTTGTCGTATTTGACCAGTGGTTGGAGCTTGCAGAGCTTCAGTTGGCTGGTTTTTTCCATCGTCGACGATGTGTTGTGGGCTTTCGTCACAGTTTTGGAATCCTTGGCTTTAGTTACTATGCTCTGTTTCTTTTTTCTTTTCTGTGGATGTACGCTTTGATTCTTCAACAGAAATTTATGCCAAATTTTTGTACATAAGCCATCGGCTTAAGTTTGCTGGTAAGTTTTTACCAATTTAATCTGAATTACAAAGTAAAAATTTGTAACCCCTGTTCTTCTTGGTTCTTGACTTTTCCTTGATTTATTGTTTTTTTTTCATAATTTCATAACTACTCAATAATGTCAATTGTTTTCCGATTACTTAGCTAGAAGGCTATGGAATTTGGTTTTTAATTGAGAAAAAGAAGATTCGAGCCCTGTTTTCTGAGCAGAAAAAACTATCGTATTTAGCTCCGAATACTAATTTTAGTTGAAAGGTGCATACGTTGTTCATCTCAACCTGGTTTAAAATCTTCAGACATATCAAGTATTTGGGTTAGAGATGATCAATCAATCACAATTTATCTGTTGGATGAGGTTTTCTAGCATCCAAAAGAACCTAGCAAATACGTCGGTTCTAGTCTCCTAGATTCTGGAGTGTGCTGTTGGGTGTAGATGCTTAGGGAAATACTTTGTCTTGTGCAAATAATGACCTTTTTTGATGTGAAATTGTGAGTTTGGTGGGTGCGTGTACCATTTTCTGCAAAGGGGAAAGAAATAACGATGGCCAAGTAGAAGGGCAATCGTTTCTCGGAAAGATGTAAAGAGAAAAAGGCTTTCAAAGTAGCATTGTTCTGAACAAAGCCAAAGTTGCTAATGATGAATTCTTCCAACGCATTTAGTTTTGCGTTCCTCCAAACGTTGGACATGTCTTATGACGTTTACCCAATTTGGCAATCCAATTCGAATTTATCGAATTTTGATCTAATTTTATAGGATTTCTTTTTTAAACTAGATTTTGAGTTGGATTGAATTATTATTATCATTTTTTTAAAAAAGATCAGAGTCAATTTTAGATGAATCTATTTGGACTCAATTTGATTTTTTTATATATATATTATTTATTTAATTTTATATTTATATTTTATATACATATTTATATTTATTTAATTATATATTTATATTTAAAAATAATATTTTATTAATTTCAAATCAAATTAATTATAATTATATATATGCGTTGAGTCAAATCGAATATAAAAATAATATTTTAAAATTAAATTAAATTAAATTCAAATATTGATTATATAAAATTAAATTGAATTTAAGATAAACAAAAATTTATTTCATTTCTATTCATTGTCATCTTTACTTTTAGTCGTTACAAAATTCGTGATATTGTTTAAATTTTCCTCCTTCTTGCTTGACAATTTTGCCGCTTCAGAAACAGCCTTTCTAAAACTTTGTACTCTTGTCATAATGTTCTTAGTCATCTTTTTAAATTTTACATGAATGTTGGATAAATTCCAAATCTTAACTAAGAGTTTGAAAAAAAAAATTTCTTCACCCAGAGTCGACGATAAAGAATTTGAATAGAGATGTTAGAATCCTTCTAGGATTCTACCAAAGAGATACAAGCATTAGACCAAAGCCCACAACTCAAAGATGTAAGTTGTAATCATGCTTTATATTATAATAAACATTTTTGTATATTGTCACGCACTTAATTTAAAAAAAAAAAATTATGTCGAGAATTTGATAAAAACTGTTTAATTATAAATTGTTCAAAAATGGAAAATTTATGATAACATGAAAATATACACCTTTCCTATCAGAAAAATATTATTATATTCCAAACTTTGTCGCCTATTAATCATTAATAAGTTTGAAAATGAAACATTTGAATTTTTTATTGATGCACGTTTTTCTTTTACTCAAAAAATTGGTTCGAATTTTCTTTATTTTTTTAAAATAAAAAAGTTTGAAGATAAAGGCCATTCTCATTATCCATCATAATACTAAGAGGATTATAGAATAACAAAATTCTAATAAATTGGTTTCCAGAGGTTTTTCTTTTTTAAATAAAAATCAACTTTGTCAAAGTTAAAGGGTTTGATGCTTGAACCGTTTTAGCTAAAACAAAACTTTGCATCGATCCATTGGTCCTTAAACTTAACGGCCCAATTGTAGAGGACTTACAATTGGAATCAACCGGAAGGGAATTAGGCTTAGGCGTATGCAAACCTAAGGATACCGGACTGCCTTACCAAGAAAAGAATAACAAACATAGATTGCCAACTGAATTTAAATCCTTTCCAGTTTATTGAACATGTTCATAGTTCAGAGTCGGACATCAATGCTTTTATGGATGCTTAAAAATCAATCGGATGCTCGGCCATGAACAATGATAAACGAGTTAACCCAACAAACCTATAATGCTAGATGCCACAAGAGCAAGATCATGAACCACTTTATCCCTATCATTAAATGGTGATTTGTTAGCGAATTGCTGTTCACATGAGTCTACATTAGTAGCTGCAGCTGCTGCATCATTTTTGGATGTCACATAGTTTTTAGAAGCCAAAGCATCAATGGCTTCCGGAAGTTGCCTTTCGACAGAAGCCCGGTAGTATTCGATGCAGCTGCCGTAGGATCTGTATAGAACAGGGTCTGAAACATGTTTGAATAGGTTTCCAACGTAAGTTAGAGTGTCCTTAGCCTTGTCCTGGAGAATCTCGACTGATATTCGAGCAAGACCTTCAAGGTCTGCATTTGAGCTTCGGGGGTCTGATCTAAGAGATGAGACGCAAAGATTGAAAAAACCAGTGTGTTTGCAAGTTTCTTGTATCAAATCCACTCCTTTCTTTGTAACTGAAACTGATGTTGTTGCTAAGAATTCAAGGATTAGAATAAGCAGGAGAGCTGTTAGTATCTGACGCATGAGTTTATTCATACTTGTTGCAGATGGGACAAGAACAGGATATGAGATGCTGGTAATGGGGTTTGGTTCCTCCTTGTAAGCTCTTGGAATTTTGTAATTTGCACCTTTCTAAGAAATTAATCGTTCCTGACATAGAATCGAAGTTATGACAGAATCTAACATAGAAGGAAACATTAGTATTATAGTATTACTAACTGTTGAAAAACATACCTTATTTGATTGTTTTGATTGATTTACCATAAGTATAAACATTGATATGATTAATTTTTTTCATAAAGGAAAGTAAAAAAAAATAAAAAAGTGACATTATAAATTCTAGAAAGAAAATTACTTCTCATGCGTTTGTCGAAAAAAGCATATCGACAACATTGACGTGATTATCATTGAAAAATGTTTGAGATAGAAAAATAATAAAATTAGAAATGAAGTAAATGAGGATAAAATTTTAATACTTTAAGTACAAATAATTTCCCTATAGTTGATGAACATTTTTTAAATTATCAATAACAATATGCCTCATTTGTTGTTGGCAATAATTTTGTCAGCCCCCAATCCTTTCTTTTTCCCTGATTGAATGTGGGGACGATTTATTTTATCACTTTTAGCCCTCATTGGGGAAAAGATGATAAGGGATGCTGATTAAGTGCCCCTGAACATTATCTTGTCCACAAAGTATGAACAGATATGATAGAGGTGAAATAATTGAAGGAGAAAAACACAGCAAACAAAAGAATCCACTTTCAGTTGTTATCCTATATAAAGGGTAATAGACAAAGAAAGTAGCATGGACGAAAAAGAAATATATATATATATATATATATCCTTTGAAATCATAACGAGCAATCATATAAAAGAATTCTATATAGTTTTTCATGAATTCCTTTGTCTATTGTGACGCCCTAATATCTTATTGAAAATTTATTGGAATTGTTATGATATATTACGTGGTATTGTTTTTTTAAATAAAATTGTGACACTTTTAAATTTTTTAAATCAAAATAAATAATTTTCAACAGATTAAATGCTGAGTCTCCATATTAGATCTCTTTTATCCCCACCTCCATTCTTTCATCATATAAGTCATTGTTTGTAGATAAAACTTTGTTTTAATTTTGCCATTTCTAAGAATGTTATTAGTCCCTTGTCACAAAGACTAAATATTTATTTCCAACTTTTGAACGTCATAAGAGAGGATAACGATGAGATAAGAGAACGATTGTATACCTTCTCACGTTATATATTGCATTTAATGTAAATTTTTACTTTTAAATTCTGGATAAACTTATTCCCAAACCTTTATTCGAAGCCATTTCCTATATACATATATATTAGGGGTGTTGGAGGTGTAAAAAATCCAAAGACCCTGTCTTCTCACAACCTCTCCAACACCAAAGATGAAGAATACCATCTCTTTAGCTCTGCTCCAGCTTGCATTTTCCTTCACTTTCCTTCCTGTAAGCCAGAATTTAGCCCTGGAATTGCAGGGACCTGGTGCCAACCTGATAGAAACAACTTGCAAAGGAACACCCTTTTACAATCTCTGCGTTTCAACCCTTCGATCAGACCCTCGAAGTTCCAGTGCAGACCTGTTGGGGCTAGCCCATATAGTAGCAGATAAACTGAAGGCCAAAACCACTGCAACACTGGGGCAGATTACAGGGTTGCTTAAAGGGGCCAAAGATCCAAAGTTGCGAATGGCCTTGCGTGACTGTTTTGATTATTACAACGCTATTATTAAGTATGATATTCCAGTGACTATTGATGCTGTTGCCAAAGGTAATCCAAAGTTTGGCGTCCAGGGTGCAACTGATGCAGCCAATGAAGCTGATGCTTGTGAAAGGAGATTCAAAAACCAACCCAAGTTTCCAATTTCTAGTAGTAACAAGGTTGTGCATGATCTTTCTGCTGTGGTTGCATCCATTGTCCAATTATTACTCTGAGGCTGATCTTGTCATTTTTCTAAAATGTAGACTTGTGTTTAATATTAAACGATCTCCAATAAAAAAAAGCACGTATAAAAGTGGTAGAAATCTTTGAAAAGGAATAAAATAGTTAACGATTAGTACTGGAATTTATCGTAAGTAGCAAAAGGAGCATTTGAATTTAAGATTTTTAATTTGAGAAATCCATTATTGCAATTGAAATAGTATCTCAATCATTATTTGTGCTCCAATCGAACCAATAAAATACAGATCCTTAAAAGACAAAGATGTGTTTCAATCTTAAGTTCCCAACCATTCAACAAACACACAACCGTATATCAGCAGATTCGGATGGTTATCTGGTCCATGTTAGTGTTCACTTGAATCAGACTTTGATCTCGCTCTGTTTTGGTCCTGCCTGCCTTTCAGGACATAACAAATTGCCTCGTATCCTCTTGCTTTGACTAAAAGTTGGCAATGAAAGCATCCGAGCATTTGGATAAATGGTAGATGCGTGTAATTGCTAACAGAAAGTTATGGTCCCTTTACAAAAGGTTGCCGCTTTGGTTCTCAGGCTATCATCAGCATAGTGTCAATTGCTGCAAAGTGAAAACTCTACCTGGAATATAAAACGCCGGAAAATGCTCAAGGCAGTGCTTTGTCTTCTTGTTTAACTAAATACTGAATCATTTTAGGGTCTGATTGACTACCTACACACACTCTTATTAAATGACTAAGATGTTCTTACCTCCCTTCTGTTCTAGTATCGACAGAAATCAAACCAATTCTTGAAATTCAAGGTACTTGTTTTTATAAGAACTTGAAACATTTGGATGAATTGGTTCTCTTCCTTTTAAAAGTTACACAATAGAATACATGGAAAGATTAAGGTTAAGCAGTTACAACAGCTTTGATGGTGCCCTAGCAGGCTGGCTGGCTGGCTGGCATTACAATCCAACGCACCAGAAGTGACATTAATATTTGGCATTAAGCAAAGAAAAGGTGATTCCTTGGTATAAACGTTGCTGACTCGCTGCTGCCATTGTCAAGGTATTGCTCTGAAGTTGACACACTTTCTTGAATCTTGTAAGAACACTGTCATTTAAGAATGGTTCTTTTCTCTAGAACTTCACATTCCTTTCCCTTAGGCCTTGCAAATTTTATTCTGTTAAGTGCAAGATGACTGACTGAGTAGGAAAACGTCCGATTTACTGGAAACATATATCCAGAGACTAAGGAAACGTTCTGAAGTTTACTATTAAAAAAAAACTCCAACTACAGAGTTATCTGTCTACACTTGACAAGGAGCTTAATCTTTTTCATTGCACCAAAAAATCCCGTGATCTAGAACAATTCAACATATATAAGAAAGCTGCACGTGAATGTATTAACCAGGGAAAAAGTTCATTCCACATTTTCTTTAAAGTACAGCAAACATTGACTGGGGAAAGATTACAAAAGAATACGCCAGAAATAAAATAAAATTTTAAATCTAGAATTTAGAGAACCAAACACGTGTACCTAGTCTAGTTTGTAAAGGAAGTTCTAGCATTAATTAAGTGACAATAAGTAAAGATACAGTAAATAAGTAGTCTAATTAGCAGCCACAACTTTCCATGAAAAGAAGATCCAGAGTTCCAAGTTTTGACCCGTGAACTATCAAAGAAGATGGAAAAAAAAAAAAAAAAAAGCGGCACCAGGTTTTTCCTTCAAATACCATGAAATGATGAGACCAGAATAGCTGAAGAAAGTACTACTTTGCAAAACATAGAGGATCAGGGAAGGCAATTTAGCATATTTCCTTACTATTCATGCATTATTTATGAAGCACAAATTATTGCCTTCTTTTGTGGTTCAAAGAGTTTCATGATCCTTCATCTTAGGAATAATGTCAAGGCAAGTTCCATCCAGAACAAGTGAAAGAAACTAACCTCTTACGCGCAAGGCACAAAGGATACAATGTAGGTGGCTGTTGCCTGTTGTAGCATTCATTCATGTGGGAACACAGAAAATTTGGCCCGATAAAAACAAAAGCCAAATCCAATAAAGTACTAATTTCATAACAAAAAGAAAGATCCTAACATACTTTAAAAGAAAATGCATCCAATTACCAAAGTAAAGCAGCAAACCAGTCACCCCCTCCTGACCCAGTCTTTCTCATTACCACAAAAATGAAAACCTCAATCTCATCTCCACCTAGCTCTTCTCTCCACGTTCTTCTTCTTCTTCTTCTTCTTCTTGCAATTTCTCTTCCATCAATCCAATGTGATGATCTGGTAGAACAAATATGTAAGAAAACACCTTTCTATGACTTGTGCATCTCTACCTTGAGATCAAACTCTAATAGCACTAACTCAGATGTTAAAGGCCTGGCAAGTGTGATGGCTGACATTCTGCTGGCAAATGCAACTGACACATTGAATTACATCCGAGCTCAGATAAACCAAACATCGGACCCCCAGATGGAGAGAGCACTTGCTTATTGTGCAGAACTTTACATTCCAGTTGTCAAGTACAATCTTCCTCAAGCCATTGATGCTTTGAGCAAAGGCCAGTTTGCATTTGCCAGTGATGGGATATCTGATGCCGCTAGGGAGGCAGATGCTTGTGAAAAGAATTTTTCAGGGTCTTTGAAATCACCATTAAGTGATAGGAACAAACTTCTTCATAGCCTCTCTGATGTGGCGGTAGCCATTGTCAAGGTATTGCAGAAGGGTTAATAACTATAAATTTACTTATATCTTTGTTTATTTTCTGCTTCTGTGTAGTCATGAAACCTTGTGTACTTATTTTCTGCCTGTAAATTTTATTCTGTTGGGTTGGAAGTGTTGTACTTCAGAGCTAAGAAAGATGCTTCAACTTTCGACCATACAATTAGCATCTTTCTTGTCTTCATTGCTTACTGTTCCTTTCTCTTTCCTGTTCTGTCGTCTTTTTCTGGGCTATATGCATGGGCTGAAATGGTTTTTTGGGCTTTGTGAGGTTTTAAGTATGGCAGACTGGAAGAGTGAGTATTGATTCTTAATCTAAAGTTGTAAACTAGATTTTTATAACAAAAAGATCAAAAGAAAATTCTAAAAAAATAAATTTAAAAACCTAGTACGTAATAGCCCATTTGAGAAGACGATCATGCTACAAAAGTGGGTATTGATTTTTTTTTTGATTTATGGATTCAGTGTCGTTTAAAATTTTCAGTGAATGGCAATTAAGTAGAGGTGACTCTTTTCCCTGTGCAATTAAAATCTGTCCAGCTCACAAGATTAAACAACAGGCACACGTGAATCTACATGAAGAGAAGGAGAAGGAGCAATTCCGTACCCAAAGCTGGCTTTCACAGGCCGCTTCACAGCATTTAATTCTTCCTCAGAAAGAAAATATACTAGTAATAGCATTTAATCTTCTGTCAGACCAAGCTATGAGTAAAACAACATGATCCAGGAGAGATCTTTAAGTCGTACTTAAATTTTATTAGCAAACTCCTATTCCAGTTGCAAGAGACAAGCCTTGTAGCAAAAGGTAGCAACAAGATGAATTATGAGCTGTAAAGTCAGGGATATTCTGAGCACGAAAATAAAGTAGCCAACAACATGATCCAGGACAGATCTTTAAGTCGTACTTAAATCTTATTAGCAAGCTACGAGTAAAACAACATGATCCAGGCGAGATCTTTAAGTCGTACTTAGATTTTGTTAGCAAACTCCTACCTCAGTTGCAAGAGACAAGCCTTGTAGCAAAAGCCAGCAACAAGATGAATTACGAGCTGTAAAGTCACGGAGATTCTGAGCACGAAAATAAATTACCCAACCATTGGAGTAAAAAAAGAGAAAAAGAAAAACAAGAAACATTACTCAGAATAGGGTTTTATTGAGACAGAAGAATAAAGAATTACCCAAAGCTTTAAAAAAGGACCTTTCCTCTCCCAAGAGTCAAGACGCGAAACATATAAATGCTATATTCAGATTCGCAATTAAACTCGAGTGATTGATGAAGATCGAGTCAGATCCTTAAATAAGAACATTATATTATTATTATTATTATTATTATTATTATTATCTTTGAAATCACATAGTTTTTAAGATTTCCAGCAGCATATTTTAATGAACATGATGTATCAGGAAAAACAACAGGTTGCATAAATTTTGCCGTGCCATGTGGGGGAAAATTTGAATTCTGAGTTTCATAATGGAATATCTTTATAGAGAATACATAATTCCACAACAAAACAATTTCAGATGAGTTGCCATGCAGGCTAATTGTCGAGAACCATGATCAGAGGCCAGAGGGCACCAAAAGTTTTACATGGTAATTTAACTCACCCCCAACTTCAAATAATATGTAAGGGATAAATTACCAGGAAAAATTAAACTCCAGAAATTTGAAGGCCATGAATACAAAACATTGTCCAGCGCAATGGTTTTCATTGGAACTGCAAGTATTTGACTCCATTGCGACAAATAGAATCTTTGCAAGCAAACAACATTATATTTTATCCAGAAAATCTTCTCAGCTTTTCCTGACCGTCTAAACCTGCAACCTGCTCCACTAAACTGCAGAAGGGAAAGCAGATCAGAAATCAGTTTCACAAGTCTACCATGCTTCTATTCTCTTAATTCTTAAAAACTTTTAAGAACCAGCAACATATTGGAATGCAATATAGAAAATGTTTTGCCACTATAACTGTTACATACTAGGGAGATGCTGAATCTGGTCGATTTGGAAAGCGTGTAGATGGATTCCCGGAGAACCAAACTGAAATTAGACCTCCCTCCACTGCTCCTGCTGGCACAGGAGATCCTTGGTGACTTGCGGCCGCTGTTCCTCTGGATGACATTCCTGCATAAAAAGAGCAAAAAATTTTTAGTCCATATTCAGTGCTAGGAAATAGAGGTCAGTAATCACTCTTAATACTAATTTGCATAAATAATTCAGCTCTTGCAAGATTATTGATGGTATTGCAAGCACCCATAGTAATTTAGCAAAAACAAAAGTATGCTGCAAAATCAAATTCCAAAGAAAAGAAGAAACAGAGATCGAGCATCTTTTACCAGCAATCCCAAAGAAATGAAGTCAGAAACCATCAAAAGGGCAAAACATTATTAATATCTAGAGCACCATAAATAATGAATACTCCAATCTTCTAACCAGGCAAGCCAAGAATTTGCATACTTTTTAGGATAATCAAAGTTCATGAGAAGATTGTAAAGTTAAAATAACACAATATGAAAGGCAAGAGAGTGAATCTAAAATCCTTATGTAAAGTTAAAATAACTCACTAAGAAAGGCAAGATAGTGCATCTAAAATCCAATAAGGAAATATTACCTTGAGACATTATGACAAGACAAAAAATTATGGTAAACACCATGGCAAATACGTTGCTGTTAGATGATGTTGCCTTAGCAGCCTTCATCTTCTTCAAGGCTTTCATCCGCTCAATTCTTGCACGCTTCAAGCTGGCAAGTTCTGCTATCTCCCTAATTAACTTCTGGTCAGCCGCATCCAATGATGGAGCCCTTGGAGGCCTAGGGTTTAGGAGGTTTTTTATTACCCAAGCTTTTACGTTTCTCCTTCACTAATTTATTCTCCTTAGCATCTTCACTCTCTTGTCCCTCCAAATTCATGCTTGTCACTGCATGCAAATTCTCCACATAAACGCTACCGGAATTTGAAGCATCACCAGACAAAGATACTCTATCATCCGACCCCTCGGCAACACTGCCTTTAACCTTAGCAAGCAATAGTTGTGCCTTCTTTTTAACACCTGAAATAGGGCTTCTGCTATAATCTTCTTCTTCACTAACAGTTACTCCATTTTCGAGGTCAAGTTCTAAATCTTTATACCCGGGAGCCATCCGATCCATGACAACCTCTCCCACAATCTCAATCAATTTTGTTTGATCGCACTTCTACCAATGATCAAAGCGCAAAACTTGGAGAATGCCAACCCGAAATTCAACCTCAAGAATCAGCCCATAACAAAAATTGCCTCCCACAAAGATACATTATAAACTTTAACTTGAAGCAAAGACGTCAATTCACAAAAATAGTTTCAATAAAAGCACTTTAACTTAGTAGCAGGCCTGTGTTTCTTCTCAACTAAAGAGTAATAATCCAGCAAGCAAAAATCAGCAAGAATATTTATATTAGACTTATTAGCCTAAAGAACCCCTCAATATTAAACCTCCGAATCATGATCCAATGACCAGACCCTGCACCCATCAACAGAATATAATATTTTCAATAAAAAAAAAAATCCTCGAATGCCAAAAAACACCAATCCAAGCTTGAATGAAAAAAAAAAAATCAAAAGCCTTGAAACAGAGAAAAAGGACAAAGCTTTGATGCATACAAAAGCAACACAAATATAAAACCATTCAAACCCAGAAAATATAACAGTTAAAACCCCACATTTATCAATACCCGACAAAGAAAAAAGCTTCCTTCATCAAACAAATAAGCATATAAAAAAAAAAACTTGGAAAGAAAGCAAGAAGAAACCAGATCCGATGCTAAGGACAAAGTTCATAAAAACAAGTTTGAAACAATAGAGGCTTTAGTTAATTCAACAACAAAAACTTATTCTCTATATATAAATATATTGACAAATGTCTGCAATGTAGAGTTTTATAAGCTTTGGGTTCAAAAGAGAAAGAGTGGGGAGAGAGATAAGCTGAGGAGGGAACTTGGGAAGTACTTGATAAGTGTAAGTTGAACAGAAGACACGGTTTTAAGATGTAATGTAACAAACTCGAAAACATCTTCCTCTAAAACCAAACAGAGAAGAGAACTACTACCATTGGTTTTTGTTCTTCTTTGGCTATAGTTTGGTTTAAATATAAATATAATAAACTGTCAATGAAACAGCACCGACGCATGGCAGTCCCCATTGGTGGGCGCCCCCTTTGTTTTCCTCTTTAATTCTTTTTTGTTTACCTTTTGTTTTCTATTTTTGTCCGCCTATTCTTCCTTTTTTTTTTTTTTCAATTTGGTTGCCCTATTTTAACATTTTCCTTTGGTTGTTTTAGTATCTTGTCACATTTTTATGATCTTTTCAATATAATGAAGTAATTGGCCATGGTTGTCCATAAAATATTAAAAAAAAAAAGCAATTGAAAGTAAAGTCCATCAGTCATTGCTGACAATGTGGATTAAAGTTAAAATGGGAGGGCAATGAAAAAAGGCATATGATTCTAAATGGTGTGATTGGCTAAGAACTAAGAACAACCCGTTACATGTGCTACGAATGACATTATGGTCAACTTTGAAAGTGATAATTCAACATTATAAGACCTCACTGCAACACACCCACTGCTAGTGATGTCACTCTCCCATGATTTTAAGCCACCTTTTTTAATTTGGTGACTGGGGAAATAGGTTGTGTTTGTTTGCATAAGCTTTTGCTCATAGAGAAAAATGAGGAAAGAAAATAAAAATCTATTATAAATGTGTGAAATTCGAATAATTTTAGTAATAAAACTAAAGTTCTTACTCTCTTTGTAGCTGAAATATGCAAAACATGCCAACAGCAATATCCAACTTGATAGGCAAAAAAAAAAAAGTTTTTTTTTTTTTATATATATCTATGTTCGATACATCTATATGAGACATAAATATGAAAATTCAAGCCTCCAAAACTTATATGGAGTCCCAGTAATGGAGCTGTTTTGTGCAGAGGGAAGAAAAGCTAAAATCTAAGAAGCCAAGTGGAAGAGATTTGCTTGCTGTTTCTTAGCCCCAGTTGTGGGCCAGAACCAGAAAGCAAGAGTCTGAGCCTTAGTGATAAAATGATAAAGACGAGCACGGTTCGAAGTATAGCCCCACTATAGCTGTATCAGAATAGGGATATACTATCACTGATTCAAAATCGTAAATAATGCTTCCAATTTTTTCATCCCAAAAAAAGTGGTATGTGCTGCCCACACACAATGACAGAGGAAATGACAATAATGTGTTTGATTAATTGCAGCTGGGTTCATTGCTTTCTAGTTGGGAAGCTTTGGACCCAATGCCTAAACATTATCAGATACGATGTTTGGTAGTGGTGTAATAATTCTTCAAATCTTGTCCCATTT